CACTAATCTACTTTCTGCCTCTATAGATTTATCTACTCTGGACAATTCACGTAAATAGAAGGAGACAATAGGCACTCTTTTGTGTCTGGCTTCTTTCACTTAAGACAACATTTTTGAGGCTCATACACCTTGTAGCATGTGTCAGAATTTCATTCCTTCTTATGGCCGAGTAATAGTGCATTGTACGGATAGACCACGTTTTGTTTACTCATTTGTTCATTAATAGACATTTGGGCTGTTTCCACCTTTGGCTATTGTGAATGATGCTGCTGTGAACACTCCTGTACAAGTATCTGTTCGAGGCCCTGCTTTCAATTCCTTGGGGTCTATACCTAGGAGTGGAATTGCTGGGTCGTATGGTAGTTGTACTTGTTTAACTTGTTGAGAAACAGCATGCATTTTGAAGTCCCCCTATGTGTCGGGCACTGAAAAGACCCTTAAGATCCAGAGAGAAACATCACCTGGCCCCTGGCCTTGCAGGCCCCAATCTAGGGGAGAGTCAGTGGACCTGCCTGTTGATACCCGGGGCACCCCCCAGTCCTCGTGGTTGCCAGTCCAGGCTGGAGGGCCTCCATTTTGCTTCCCCCACTCTGCACCTTCCTTCGGGGAACTGGAGGAACATTTACGCTAGGATGAGGCAACCCCAGAGATTTCTGTTGCTCAGTAACACTGAAGGAAACCAACGGGGGCTAAAGAAACTGAGCGGAGAGCACCTAAGTGTGCTGTAGTCCTTGAGTGTGGGCCCATCGGCACCAGTGAGTTAAGAGATGGAGGAGGGAAGGCAGTGGGGGGAGGGCAGAGAAAGTCAATTTCTGGATCCGTCCTTGGGGAGGGAGGAGTGACCTCAAAGCAAAAGGGTGAAAATCTCTCTTTGCTTTCAAGGGGAACTGCTAGGCCACACCTCGCCTTAGCGGGCCAGGTCTGGCAGTGTTGGAGTGCTAGGCATGGGAGAGCACACACCGGTGTCCAGTGCCTGGGTGGTCACCATTCGGGCCTTCCTGTGTATTCTGGGCTAATTAATGGCCTTCGGCGATTCCTCAGATTCTTTCCCAGTGACCTCCGGCCCCGAGGAACAAGGCCAGGTGAAGGCTGTTGTGGGAGGCGGGAGGGAGGGCCAGGGGACACCCCCCACCCAGGCTGCGGCAGGAAGCTGGGCTGTCTCCCTCACCCAGGACCTGGTGGGATGGGAACTGGGCTTGTTGCTTCTCCTAGGTTAGAAGCCAACACAGAGCAAGAGAAGTGAGGGCAGAGAGAGGAAGGAGGAGGAGAGAGCTTTTCCTGGAGGAAATAATGACCAGAAGGGCTGCAAGTCAGGACGAGGGGTGGCAGGCACGCAAATGCTGCTGCTAAGGTTGTCGGGTAATGAACAAGGGGAGAGGGAAGGGCGAGAGGTCAGCGAAGGCCAGCCTCCAAGCTGTCTCGAATAATGTTTCCACTCCCTGACCCAGCTGAACAGGCTGTTTTTTTCTCTCTCCACTGTAAACACTCCAGCCTTCACCTCCACCGCACACCGAACCCCAAAGTGGGGCCCTTATCGCCCGCCCCTCCCACCAACCTGTCCCTGTTGCCATGGAAACTATCTGGGGTAAGGTGATCTCTCTCTACTTGCAACCTCCCTGCTTTCAGCACCAATCAATCAAACCCCCCAACCCCATCTCTCAGGGGGAGGTCCTAGGGGAGAATGAGGAAGGAGAGAAATTAAACACAGGAAAAAGAACCACAACAATAATGAAAAATGAACAAAGAGAGGGGGTGATGTCATTCCGGCTGTTGATCAATTCCTTTTGTCCCTCCAGCCACCACACCCTTCCCGTGCTTAACTCCTAAAGGAGGAAGGGACTCTCAGCGGGGGGTTTCCAGAGCCTCCAGCCTGGACCCACGCAGTATTGCTGGCCGTGGAGGCCTTCTGAGGATTTGCCTTCCAACTGTCCATGCTCCTCCTCTGAAGGAAGGTCACCGGAATGACAAATCAGCCTGGTCATGGGTAATTAGAGACGGGCTGGAGCTTACCTGCTACAAGGAGCAAGGTCATAATGGGGTTGACCATTGAGAATTTATTTTCTGTGGCAGATTGTATTTTGCACAAATGGCTAAAACAATAGTTTCTGCCCTACATGCTCTTCTGGAACCTTGTCTCGCTCCCATGCAAAGGATGAGTCTGTGCACCACCCCCCGCCCCCCTGAATCTGGGCAGGCTGTATGGCTGCCTCTACGAGTAGAGTACAGCAGAAGTGAGGTTATGTGACTTGCAAGGCTGGGTCAAAAAAAGGCAGTACAGCTTCCGCCAGGTTCTCTTTTGGGACACAATCCTTGGAGCCCAGCCAGCATGCTGTGAGAAAGCCCAGACTACATGGAGAGGCCACATGGAGATGTTCCTGACAACAGCTCCCACTGAGGTCTGAGCTAACAGCCGGCGTCAACAGCCAGACATGCAATGAGCAAGCTTTTGAGATGACTCCAGCATCAGCCACCGCATGGCTGAAACCACAGCTCCAATCGCCTAGCTGAGCCCAGGCAATCGCTAGGACCAACGGCCATGATAACAATAACTGATTCTTGTGGTTTTATGCCAGTAGGTTTGGGGTGGCCTGTTTCACAGCAATAGAAAACTGGAATGAAAGTCAACATCAGAAAATAGAAGTCTAGGTTCTGCGGCAAGATTTGCCACAACCATCTCACTTTAGTATCTCAACTTAGCTGCCTCTAAAAACACAGACGTTTAATTGTTTCTCATGACCTGGTTGATGGTTGGTTTTGCACTGGGTACACATAGTCATAACCAGTCACTGCTCGGGTTAAGATGCTGGAAGGGATCTACGTGAAAATTATCATCCAGATGACGATTTTGTGCTCTAGAAGAAACAGACGCCCCATTTCCACTGGGTGCTTGTCTTAGCAGTTTGCTCCCGGATGTCAGTCTCACCCACGCCAACTGATAATGTGCAGGCTGTCTATTCTTCGTTAGTTACAAAACCAATGGACTCTCTCTATGTTCTCTCAGGACCTCCTTCTATTTGTGAAGTACTGTCCAATTTTCGATCCTAACTTGGCACTGCCTGCTGACAGTCAAACTTCTTGAAAGTTGTATACATCAGTGCTTCTCGAACTTTAGCCTTCATCAGAATCACCTGGAGGGTTTATTAAAAACAGATTTCTGGACTCCACCCTCAGAATTTCTGATTCAGTAAGTCTGGGATGAGGCCCAAGAATTTGTGTTTCTAACAAGCTCCCAGATGATGCTGATGCTGCTAGTCTGTGGACCAAGCTCTGGGTAGCACCGGTATACATTGTTACCCCTGTTTCTCCTGTTTTCCCTTCAGCCTAGTACAATGTGATTTTTCCCTCCACCATGGTTGTGTGATAGTCAAATGTAACGAATTCTATTCAATCCTTACCCTCCTTTGACATCTAGGCATCAATAAATGCCATTAACCGCCTTTTCCTTCCTGCAACTTCTTCTTCACTTGCCTCCTGCTAACATCTCTTCTAGTTCTAAACCTATCTTATTGCTCTTTCTTCCTCTTTATCCCTGGCTTATCTCTCAAGGATTGCCATGCTCTACTGTTCTCTTCTTGACCTTTTTTCGGACTCTATACCCTTTTTGCCTGGCTCCTACTGTCATCTTCCACTTACACACCAATGCCTTCCTAACTTATAGCTCCAGCTCCAGCCTCTCTCCTGATGTCCAGGACCATATTTTCACGAGCCTACTGGCCATTTCCAGCTGGCGATCCTGTACACATTCAGCATGTCCAACACCATCCTCCCACCTTCTTCAGTAAACTTGCTTTATATTCCTTATCCCCTCAAAGCCAAATGGTCCTCAGATCCTAGCTGTAAATGTTTCTCTAATTCCCCCTCTCCGCTCTAGTCTCCCCCTCTCCATCCCCCACCCTTGTTTGGGTCCCCGGTAGCTCCTGCCTGGACCATTGCCATGGCTTTCTAAGTGCTTGCCTAGCCGCTACTGTTTCCCTGCCATTCCATTTGTTTACACCATTACCAGTTAGATTTCTGACACAGAGATAGGTCACTGATTCCTTGATTCACAGTGTAACGACTCTCCATAAGTGTAGCAGACACTATCAGTGCTCCACCCCCTCATCTCTTTGCCATTCACGTGAACGTCGGCTTCCAGCATGCCTCCACTCCTGACAGCCAGTATCTCTTTGCTGAGGGACTGTCCTCAGGCCGCCAGAGCCACTTCACCTGTGCCATGGAGTGTGGACAGCCCGAAGTGCTTGGAGACAGCGCTGAGCCGGTGACTGACGGGTGGGTGCTGTAAGTCCTGCAGCCCCCTTGCTCCCATCTGGACAACTTTGTCTGCAGAGTTCCTCTGCAGGATGGGGCTAAAGTTGCCCTTGGAGGGATGGTGCTTACTACGGCCCCTCAGCTTGGCTGCTGACCTTTCCCTGCTCCCTTTCAAGCTCTTCCTGGTCACGTCTCCTAATAAATTATTTTCACAGGAATCCTTATCTCTGAGTCTGTTTCTGGGAATCTTGACCTAAGACAAGTACTTAGAGGATAAAATGAAAACTCCTCCATCTGGACATCAAGGCCCTTCGAAATCTGGTTCTAACAATGTTTCTGGATTCATCTTTCCCGAGTTCCATCTGACACTACAGCCACATCAAGGACTTGAGCTCCTGGAAAACACCATGTGCTTCCAGACTCCCGTGGCTCTGATCGTGTGTTACCCCTTTGGGGCACGTCAATCCAGCTAATCCTTGAAGGCCCAGCACACGCGTGAAGCCTTTTGAAATCCCTTTTCTGGTGCCACTGCCCCTGTTCCTTTTGTCTTGTCTTTTGTGTATTTCCTGGTACCATATTTACTGAGTTAATGCCCATAAATCTGTTTCCCACATTCAAATGTGAACTCCCTAAGGCACAAGCACGTTTCATTAATTTTGCTATTCTCAGCACTTTGCAGAGCATTTGGTCCTTAGTAGGTATTGTTATGGGCTGAATTGTTTCCCCCAGAAAAGATACGCTGCAGTCCTGGCTCCCAGTGCCCTACAATGTGATTTTATTTGGAGATTGGGTCTTTACAGGTGTTGTCAAGTTAAGACGAGGTCATGAGGGTGGGTCTTAGTCCACTTTGACTGGTGTCCTTATAACAAAGGGGAATCTGGACACAGAGACACACACAGAGGGGAACACTATGTGAAGATGAAGGCAGAGATTGGGGTGATGCTTCTGCAAGCCAAGAGGGGTCTCCCTCACAGCTCTCCGAAGGAAACAACCCCACCGACACCATGATCTTGGACTTCCAGCCTCCAGAACTGTGAGAAAGCACGTTTCTGTTGTTGTAATAAGCCCCTCAGTTCATGGTACTTTGTTCTGGCTCTCCTAGGAAACGAATGCAGTGCTCAATAAATGTTGAAGGAATGAATTTGATTTAACACTTATTTAGCACTTACCACATGCCAGGCACTGTTCTAAGCCCTATACCAATATGAACTCCTTTAATTCTCATAACACCACTGCGAGGCAAGTATTGTTCTTACCTTCATTTTACAGGGGAGGAAATTTACGCACAGAGAGGTTAACTAACTCAGCCAAGGTTGCAGAGTCAGCGACAGAGTCCGAATTTGAAAAGCAGTCTGACTCCAGAGCCTAAGGGCTTTACCACTCTGCTCTGCGGAATTTGACAATTCTGGTAACAACTGTTGCAAATGAGGTTCTCCTGGCAGGTGGGCAGAGGAGGAAACTGAGATGGAGAGGGTGAAAGGCTGAGTTGCACTTGGGCGGTCAGTAGCAGAGGTAGAAATCAACCTCTTTTCTCTGATTCCTAGTTTAGTCCCCTCTCTACAAAGTAGAAGAGATGGGCCTTGAGAGCGTCTCATGATAAATACTCACATTGGAGAGTCATTGCCACTCGTCTGGGTACCAGCCAGTAAAAACTGGGCGGATAGTTGTTGTCAGGGAGACCTGGCTCCTGGGGAGGGGGACGCTCCGTCGCTGGTTATGGGCTAACAGTGGTCGTGTAAATTTTCATTCTCAGTGAGTGTAGCTTCCATGACTGATGGTCATAGGTAGAATTGCTTGGGCTTTAGATTTGTGGACCTGATGCCCATAAACCACATTTTCATATAGAATACATGTCTGAGGAGAAGCGGGCATGTTTTAATCTCGTGAGTTACGGCCTTGCCTCCCTCTAAAACCTCTGAGCCAGCCTCCGATGAGTGAAGAGGTTGCTGTGACAAGGGAAAAACCCACCCAATGCCTCCCAGCCTCCCTTCCCCGTTCCCTCCTCAGAGACCAGCATTTATTTACTCTGTCGGAGGGGAGGATGTTCTAATCGGGTTTTAAGGGCCCTTGCTGCCTCGGAGTGGCAAGAAGAGAAGAGATGTGCACACGCAATTTTGGCCTCTTCAGTCATGATTCCCAATAGCTGTTGACAGCTGAGTGGTTCAGCAATGGATTTGGTTGCAAAGGATGCTGGTGGTGGCGGTGGCGTGTGTGCATGGGCGCCTCTGTGCTTCTTCACCAGCAAGTCGGCTCCAGTCTAATTGGCTCTGCTTACCAGGTCTTTGGAATGCTGGGTAACTTTGAGGTGGACCAAATGAGAGAAAAGAAGGTGTGCTTGCTGGAGCATTTCCAGAGGATGAAGGCTGCCATAGATGGACAGGATGTGTTGGCCAACAAGCGCACAGTCAAAAACAAGCCTGTGCCAGGAGGGGGCGCCGTGGAGGCGCTGCTAGGTGATTTGAGGCTAGTGCAGCTGCAAATGCGGGCGGGCAGGCGCTGATTTGAAGGAGTGGATGGTGGGTCCAGAACCAGGTGGGAACCAGAGTGAAGCTGGGACAGACACACACAGACTGGGGCTCATGGGTGCTTCGCTGAGGACTGGGGCAGGTGCCAGGAGATATGACGTCGGAGGGCAGGACAGAAGCCAGGCCTGGATGTGGGCAGGTGATCTAGCAGCATGTTGAAAGAAACAGGGAACAGGCACCTGGGGGCCTGGGTGCAGCTTTGTCTACAAGGGGAGGCCAGGAAAGCACTGAGCCAGGCAGAAAGGCCTCCAGGAGTTCGCTCTCCCTGAAAGGATTTTTGATGTTATTGGGGGAACTTTTGTGGTGGTGTTACTGCAATAGCCCACGATGCTAAGGTCACCCTGTTCTTGGCTCAGGGCATCATCCTTTCCTGGTTTTGCTCATCCATCTGGCCACTCTTTCTCAGCCCCTTTGTGGGTTCCTTCTTGCCTCCCTGACCTCTCACCAATTTTTTTTTCTTTTTTTGGTGAGGAAGATTTGTCCTGAGCTTACATCTGCTGGCAATCCTCCTTTTCTTTTTTTTTTTTGCTTGAGGAAGATTAGCCCTGAGCTAGCATCTATGCCAATCTTCCTCTATTTTGTATGTGGGTCACCTCCACAGCACGGCTGATGAGTAGAGTAGGTTCATGCCCAGGATCTGAACTTACAAACCCCAGGCTGCCGAAGCAGAGCCTGCAGAACTTTAACCATTCAGCCATGGAGCTGGCCCCCCGACCTCTCACCTTTGCAGAGCCCCAGGACTCCCTCAGCATTGCATCTCTTCTCTGTCTGCACCCTTTTCCTAGGTGACCTCATCCAGTCCTGTGGCGTTGAATTTCCACTCTGAGGACTGCCTGATTCCTGTCTGCAGTGCAGGTATCTCCACGGGAACCCCAAGCAGCATGTCAAACTCTGCCACGCTCTCCATCAGCCCCGACACGAACCTTGCTGCCCCGTCTTCTCTATCACCATTTTGGCAGCTCCAGTCCTCCAGTTGCTCAGGTCCAAAACCTCAGATTCCTCCCTAACTCTTTTTTTCCTCATCCATTCTTGCAGTCAACCCTGTCATTGGCAATACCCTAAAACGCTGATCCAGAATCTGGCCACTTCTCACCTTCCTGCCACTGCCGTCCTGGTGCCACCGCCATCTGCTCTCACCTGGATTACAGCAGTAGCCTCGTAAGCGACCGAGCAGCCTGGAGCCTGTTCTTAATGTGGCAGCTAAAGTGCTTCTTCAGAACATGTCAGACCATGCCGCTTCACTGTTCACTGCCTCCAACAGCCCGCAGTCTCACCCCAAGTAAAGCCAAAGTCAACACAGTGGCTTACACAGCGCTGCATGACCTCCCCTCCCCCCACCACCCTGGCTTCACGTCCTGCCATCCTCCCCAGTGCTCTCTCCACCCAGCCACCATGGCGTCCTTGCCTGCCTCCAACAGGCTGGGTGCACGCCCACCTAGGGCCTTTGCCCTGGCTCTTCCCTTTGTTTAGAACAACTCCTTCCAATCCTCAAGGCTTGACCCAGAAGTCCCCTTCTCTGTGACACCTTCCCAGACCACCCTATTGTTCCCCACCCTCCCTAGCCCCCTTCCTGATTTATCTTTCTCCATAGCACTTCACCAGCTCGCTATGTACTTTACTCCCCCACTGGAACGTAGGCCCTGTGAAGGCCAAAATTTGTACCTGTTTGGTTCACCGTTGAATCCTTAATATCCAGAACAGGGCCTGGAATGAAGAAAAGTGCCCAATAAAAATGTGTAGAGTACGTAAAATTGATTTCCTTGGGTCTTATTCTATGCTGTTAGTAACCAGTATATTTTTCTCTCCCTTCCTCCTCCTCTGACTTCTTCCTCCTCCCTCGCCCTCCTCCTCTCCTTCTGTCTTTCTCTCTCCCTCTCTTCCTTAACTGACACTTACTACACCTTCAATTTCTCTACTGCCTTACAGTTTTGAACACCCTCTGTCTTAGTCCATTCGGGCTCCTGTAATACCACAGAAATACCACAAACTAGGTGGCTTATAAACAAGAGAACTTTATTGCTCCCACTTCTGGAGGCTGGAAGTCCAAGATCAAGGCCCCAGCAGGTTCGTGTGGTGGGGTGCTGACTTCCTCACAGACGGCCATGTTCTCGCTGTGTCCTCACGTGGCAGAAGGGATGAGGGAGCGCTCTGGGGTCTCTTTTATAAGAGCTACAATTCCATTCCTGAGGGCTCCACCCTCATGACCTAATCTCCTCCTAAAGGCGCCACCTCCTAATGCCATCACATTGGGGGTTCGGTTTCAGCACATGAATTTGAGGGGGACACAAACATTCAGTCTACAGCAGCCTCTCACACGTGATCTCATCCGACCTTGACAACACCCCTCTGAGGCCAGCTAAGCAGGGTCCACCATCCTCCTGCACCGAAGGCTCAGCCTTGGGCAAAGGAAAATGAAGGAGATGCTCTAGACGTCCCACAGCTTTTTCTCTCGGCTCAGGTGTAGGGCTGCTCACCTGCAGCTGAGGTAGAGGGTTCCAGGTCACTGACAGCTTTTCCCCTCTAGCACCGGCTTCTCCCCGCTTCTCTGCCCTGGGCATGCTCAGTTGAGCTCAGGCGCAACCAGGAAGTGCAGGGGAGTTAATGTCTCCAGGGCAACCCGCAGCCGTGGAGGATGGGAGTTGGTGGATGTTATGAACTAAATATTTGTGTCCCCCCGAAATTGGTGTGTTGCAGTCCTAACCCCTAACGTGACGGTATTTGGGGGTGGGGCCTTTGAGAGGTGCTTAGGTTTAGATGAAATCGTGAGGGTGGGACTCCCATGATGGAATTAGCGTCCTTATAAGAAGAGAAGAGACTAGAGCTCTCTCTCCACCGTGTGAAGGTACACCAAGAAGGTGGCCCTCTGCAAGCCAGAAAGAGTGCCCTCACCAGGAACCGAATCTGCCAGAACCTTGATCTTAGACTTTCCGGTCTCCAGAACTCAGAGAAATAAACGTCTGCTGCTTAAAGCACTCAGTCTATGGTATTTTATTATGACAGCTGGAGCTAACACTGGATAAATGCCCCAGCTTTCCTGTCCTCTGGTGGGACAACTCTAAGGCACGTTCTGCCAGGTTTCTGGGAGGTTCTCTGGGAGGACTGAGTCCCAGTTGCCCACAGGGGTAATCTCCTCATTAACGCCCTCTTCATTGCCTTCTCTCCCTTCCCTGCTCCCTGCCTGTGCTTCCTGGGTCACCTCCCAGTCGCACCACCTGCATCGGAGTCTTTTCTCAGCGTTGGCTTCTTGGGGCACCTGTTATGGGCCGAATGTTTGTGTCCCCCTCAAACTCATGTGCTGAAACCGAACCCCCAAGGTGATGGTGTTAGGAGGTGGGGCCTTTGGGAGGTGATCAGGTCCTGAGGGTGGAGCCCTCGCAAATGGGATCAGTGCCTTATGAAAGGGACCCCAGAGAACTCTCTTGCCCCTTCTACCATGTGAGGACACAGCAAGAAGACAGCAGTCTATGAACCAGGAAGAGGGCCCCCACCAGGCACAGAATCTGCCTTGATCTTGGACTTTCAGGCTCCAGAACTGTGAGAAATAAAAGTCTACCATTTAGAAGTCGCCTACTCCATGGTATTCTGTTAGAGCAGCCCGAATGAACTAAGACAGCCCCTAAACTGACATGGGAGGGGACCAAGTTTATTGATGATCCTGAGAGACCTCTCTGTGGCCCTGGACAATGGTTACCAGGTTTTGCAAATAAATACAGGATGCCCAGTTACATTTCGACTTCAGATAAGCAATGGATAAGTTTTTAGTATAAGCATGTCTTAGGCAATATTGAAGGTATATTTATACTAAAAAAATATTCGTTGTTTATCTGAAAATCAAGTTTAGCTGGGCATCCTGTATTTTATCTGGCAGCCTGAACCAAGGTTGGAAATAAGGGAGAACGAATTAGGAAACTGGAAATGATTACAGAGGCCTGGAGTATGTGTGACTCCGGGCTGGATAAGGCAGATCTGCGAACCTTTAACCTTTAACCTACCTAATCTGGGAATGGTTTGCATCCCATCATCCTCTTGGGCACCCCCTACAGCCGACGGTGGGAGAATGGTGGGGAGAAACATTACCCAAAGAGGTTGAGGGGACGACCACGACCCCAGGGTCCGTCCCCTGAGGTGAAAACCCCACTGGCCTTCGAGGCAGTGAGCTTAAGAAGTTTCCCAGGTGGCAATAATAAGAGTAGCAGCAGTGGCGGCGGCCGCAGTTGGCGGAAGCCCTCAGTCTGGGGCCTGCATGTCATCACAGAGCTAACAGTCGAAAATGGAAAGTTTTAGTCACACTCCTTTCTTTGGCTGCCATCTGTGTGACAAGGGTGAAATTGTGCTGCAGGGGGGCCCAGCCGACCTGCTACTAGTCACTTCCCCAGAGAGCCAGGGGCCCTGCTGGCCTGAGGCCCAGCAGCTGCCAGCATGCTGAGCTGGGGGCCTGACCAGGATGGGTCCAGGACTCCTGAGTTGCAGGCGCTGACTCTAGGCCTTACCCAGGTCTAAGCACACCACTGATATTAGCCCATTTAATGCCCTAACCACTCGATGAGGTAGTTGGAATTCCATCTGACAGATGAGGAAACTGAGGCACACTATGTCACACAGCTTGGAGGTGGAAGATCCAGCATCCAGCCCCAGGCAGTGTGACCGCTGAGCCGTCGCCCTCAGTCACTGTCACACACGCCTTGGAACTGTTCCTGGAACCCTGAAATAGTGTGTCTAAATGGCCCAGCAGAAAGGTAATGCCGCTGGAGTCTGGAGGGATCCGTCCTTGATACCATCATCATTTGAGCAGCACTGTGATCCCCATCTTCCCGTGCGCCCTGAACTGAACTGTCCCAGGAGTGGTGCTGACCGCAGAGTGGCCAGGCTGGTCTGAGGACACCTGGACCGCCCAGGTAGACTCTTCAGTCCCCTGATCTCCCTCACCACAACTGCAGTCACCCCCTGCCTCCGACTTGCAGACCAAGAGTTGATGGCGCAGCCAGAAACAGCTGCCAGGTCCCCTGGAAAACAAGCCCGCAGCAGACGAGGCCCGTGGAGCACACGTTCCAGGTGGGAGCAAAGCAAACAGCCTCAGGTCAGGGAAGATGGTCCTTCTGCATTTCGGGGCTGAGCCAAGCTGACACGGGGTGCTAGGTGGCTTTGGGTTTTTTTCCTTTTAACAGTGACTTGGCTGCTTGGATGAGAGCTAAATTCAGACGCTGGGCTTGGCAGCTAAAATAGGGCCCCCGTTACTGCCTCTGCATTTACAAGCAGCCAGAGGAAGCCCGGACTTGGGAGGCCGGAACGCCCTGGTTTCTGGGCACTCCTATCTGGCCTCTGCCTTGCTCTGACCTCAAGCCCCAGAGGGTTGCTAACCGGGACAAAATGGGGGAAAGGATAGGATGGGGCTTTAGCAGATGCTCTCCAGGCCCTGCCCTATTCCCTTGGTGGGTTCAGGCCAGTAACTGCATCTCTTTGCCCAGTGGCTTTCTAGAAACCATGCACCATCCCTCTACCTGTGTGCGTGGAGGAATTACCCCACCCTCACACACACCCTCAACCAATGACTAGCCTGAGTTGGTGTATAAATAGCTGGCTCCTTGTGGGGGCGAGGATAACTCAGAGGTGCGTGTTCGACATCAGTGTTACTCAAACCAGTGTGGTCTGTGAACCAGTGACAAGCTGTGAAATGTTTATTACTCACCCACTTTGAGATAAGTACACAAAGAGAGAGTCAGCGTTTAGGAAGTTTATGAGCAATTTGGCATTGCCGTGCCATTGGTATTGTACTTTACAAAAGTATCCATCTACAATGGATTGATAACGACACCGAACAACCTGGTCCTTGACCCACATACCTGTCTTTCCTAGTTTCCCCCGTGGGATGAAGTGGCAGTTGCCCGCAGTGCCAGCTGGCTCCATAATGCACCCATTATTGGCTGCCTTCCCTTCCCCGTCTCTCTTCCCCACTCTCCTAACAGTGTTTCTCACATTTCCCAGATAAACTACTTGCACCCATTTCTTTGTCTCAGGGTCATCTTCCGGGGTAACCCAATCTCAGCCACCCTCCCACAGGCAGTGCGGAAGGCTGCCCACGCTGCCCTCTGCTGCCGGGGGCATGCCGCTGGTGGCTTCTTGACCCTTTCCCCAAGGAGTTAAGTAGCCCATTAAGGATGACATGGTCATCTGCCCACCTGCACATTTCTTCCTGCTTCCACTGCCTAAGGCCAAGGTCATTGCCCTCCAGAGTCCCTTTGCTTCTCCAGAGTCCCACAGACAGGCCAGGGCTGATGGAAGACACACTTTCAGGCACTAGGCAGCCAAGAATTGCGGATATTCTGGCTAATGTTGAATGCCCCCCAACTTCACCTCCAAGACCAGCTCTTGCAGGCCCAAGGCAGCTTCAAGGTAAAGGTCTGAAGCGTTAATTTATAGGCCCGAATGGCGAGTGAGGCAAACCTGCTCTTTCCTGAAGCCACTTTTACGCACACGTGGAATGCTTTTGTTAAGAGACGCCGCGCCCAGGCGCAGTCTTTCCTGCCCTGAATCATTTCCATGTGGCTCAGGGCCTCCCTGGACTCGAGCGCTGTTATCCCTCGCCTGTGAGATCGCGCTCTATCTCGGGTTCGCTCCGTGGTTGTTTACGGATTTCTCGATCTGCCTGCTCAGGCTGAAAGAGGCCCCGCCGCCCATAAAAACCCTGCGGTTCTAAATCATTTTTCTCTCTCTCTCCACTCAAGTCCCCGGGACTCTTGGAGCCCAGAATTAAAACCATCTTGAAATCTAATTTTTACTTCTCCATCTCGTGGCCTATTTCCCTTTGCCTTTTTGGTATGCTTATGCAGGCACTTCACACATCCCCGTTGGCCATCAGCCTCTGGTGCCCTGCCCTGCTCAAGGGGTTCGGGTGTGGAATGATTCTCTTGAAGCCCTTTTATAAACTCCACAAATAGCATCCTCCTGGCCTGGTCCAGGCTGGAGTCAGCAGGTCAGTTACACGAACATGCACCCTGGCTTTTGTGAACGTGTTCAGTTCTGGGTGGGGGGTTGCTGGCACCAGTGGACGCACATTTAGAAATCCCTCGACCAGAGTGCGGGTGAGCCTAGCACCATGCCAGGGATCGTGGCCATGCCAAGGGGTGTAGCTGTTTCAGACCAACTACTGGAAACGGAACTGTGATAAGAGCTACTGAGAGGCAGGCTAGGAGGCGGGGAAGACGGCAGACTCTGCAGCTGACTGCCGGGGTCCAAATGCTGGCTCTGCTGATTGTTAACTGTGTGGCTTTGGCAAGTAACCTAACTTCTCTGGGCTTCACTTTCCTCGGCTGTAAAAGGGTGAGAATAATAGCACCTACCTTATAAAATTGTTCTGAGGATTTGATGAGTTAATATAAAAGAAATGTTGGAGGCCAGCCCCGTGGCCGGGTGGTTAAGTTCATGCACTCCTCTTTGGTGGCCTGGGGTTCACAGGTTCAGATCCTGGATGTGGACCTACACACCGCTTATCAAGCCATGCTGAGGTGGCGTCCCACCTAGAGGAACTAGAAGGGCCTACAACTAGAATACACAATTATGTACTGGGGCTTTGGGGAGAAAAGAAAAAAGAGGAAGATTGGCAACAGATGTTAGCTCAGGGCCAATCTTCCTCACCCAAAAGAAAAAGAGAGAGAAATGTTGAATGCCTCATAATGTTAGCTATACTCCTCCTCCTCCACCACTGTGATATTAAGTAGAACTGATAGAGAGAAAATAGGGGTTAAAGTGGACTGCAGTGATCAGAGAAGGCTTCCTGGAGGAGGGGGCTTAGATCAGGCATGGAAGGATGGGTGGGAGGATAGGAATTGTTGTGGTCAGAGAGCAGACTGACAGATTATATTTTCCGATGATGGCTGCCAACAATATCTGCTAACCCACAGGCTCTTGTACAATGTGACCCTAACGCCCCTCCCATTGAGAGGTGGGGTCTCTGTGCCTTCTTCTTGCATATGCGGTGGTGGGGCTTTGATTGCTTCCATCAGTAGAATACAGTGGAAGTGATGCTGGGGGACTTGCAAGGCTGGGTCATGGAAAGGGATGTAGCTTCTACCTTGCCACTGGATCACGTGCACTGGGAGCCCTGCACTGTCATGTAAGGAGTCTGAGCACTCTGAGGCTGCCATGCTGTGAGGAAGCCCAAGCCCCATGGGCTTTTTCCAGTAGGTGTCCGGCTGGCGGTCTTTGAGTCCTCCCAGCCCAGGAGCCAGACACAGGTGTGAAGGAGCCTTCTGCTGATTCCTGATTGCAGCCCCCAGTTGCAAGTCATCCCTGGTCTTTGAGCCTTCCCAGCTGAGGCTTCGAACACCCTGGAGCAGAGACAAACCAGCACGCTGTGCCCTGCCTGAAGTCCTGACCCACAGAATCCATGAGCATCATCGTTTTAAGCTACTAAATTTTGGAGTACTTTGTTACTCAGCAATACTGCCTAGAGCAGGAGGTAAAAGGGCAACTCCAGTGACAGCGCCAGCGTGAGCAAAGTCACTGCAGAGAGCACACTGAGAAGTCTAGGGGCAAGGGTGGTGGGGAAGGGAGCTGGGGGCTTGGGGCCTGTTCCTTCCCCCCCTACCCCACACCATCCCATAATCCTAGAGCAGGTAAGTGTGATGGAAGGTGAGCCATGATAGCTCATGAAATCGTCTGTGTAAATTTTGAAAAGAATTTATTTTTCTTCTTCTCCCCAAAGTCCCTCAGTACATAGTTGTATATTGTAGTTGTAGGTCCTTATGGATGTGCTGTGTGGGACGCTGCCTCAGCATGGCCATGTTCACACCCAGGATCTGAACCGGCAAAACCCTGGGCCGCCAAAGCGGAGCGCGCGAACTTAACCACTCGGCCACCGGGCCGGCCCCAATCTGTGTAAATTTTAGAACACTAACCTTGGTTCCATTCATTCTTTGACAGGGTGAAAATTGCCTAGAATTTTGCAATAAATAATATGAATGAAATTCATATGAAATTCCTGTGAAATAAATTAAAGAGGCTTGAGGACTGACACTGAGGGGAACCTATCTCTCCTAGGGAGTCAATAGTTTGTCTTGGGTCGGGCTGTAGGAGTTAGTCTGTTTGAATTCAAAGCCTGTCTCAGCAACTAATAGCTGTATGACCTTGAGCAGATTACTTAACCTCTCTGAGCCATTTTCACCCCACTGTACATCAGGGCTGGATATGGACATTGGGGATCCCTGGCACATGAGGTGGGAGGTACACGGCCTGAGCAGAGCATGCAGGGGTGATGACCATGGCTTCCTCTCTGTTCTGCTCAGAGTAGGTTGGGTTCTACAAACATTTCTCAGGGATCGTTTTGTCAGCCTGGGCCTTCAGCCCTCACCCGGACTCACGGTATCTCTTATCGGTACAACTGATTCAGCTTTGGTTCTCACACTTCTGCTTAGTCCAAGAGGACAACATTAGATCAGAGATCAGACCATGTCCTGTCTTCCTCCTTTCTCCTCTCAAACCCTTCCCTCTTCCAGTTATGACCCAAATGCTCTCATGCATGGCCATGGATGTGACAGTGAGTGTGTATCTATGAGAGGACATTTACATTAGCTGGTCCCAGGCCCCAGGACAACCAGTCCCCAGACTCCTTACAAATGCATAATGCTAAGCTCATCTGTTAGTTGCCTATTGCTGTGTAACAAAATATCCCCAAGCTTAATGATTTTAGACAACAATCAGTTAATTATTTGCTCACAGTTCTATAAGTTGAGCAAGGGTTGGCCAGAACAGCTCATTTCTGCTCCATCTGGCATCAGCAGGAGCTGCTCAAACAGCTGGAATCCAGCAAGTATGGCTTGATTTGGTTCAGATGTCTGGGGCCTCAGTTCTCACCATGGGCTTGGTTCCTCACTTCTTCTACATGTGGCCTCTTCACGTGGTTAGCTTGAACTTCTCCACAGCATGCTGGTTGTCAGGGTAGTTGGATTTCTTACACAGCACCTGACTTCCCTAAGAGCACAAAAATCGAAGCTGCCAGGCTTTCTCTCTGGGAAGGGTTCCCTGTAGCTCTTGATTCTGCCCTCTGAGTCACCTTTCCTTTTCCATAGTAAATATTCATGTTTGCATTTGAGTAGCTTCTTCAGCCTGTTCCCTCTCTTTAGGAAGTTGAAGACTCAGAGGTCTCTTTTTATTTTGAACTCTCTCTGTCCTTTCAGTCCAAGCCAATGTAATTCCTTTCAGAACTTAGTGGATTTCCTGTGTATCAAGTTATAAATGTACCTCATTAGACAAAAGCCACATCCACAAATTTCTTTGAGACAGATCTGTCTCTATTTTAGGATGCAAGTCAGGGCTGTGGGACAGCATCTTTAAGATTCTCAGAAAACATTTTGTCTACATGAGATGGTCTACAAGTCACTGTACTAAATCTTTTGAGATCTCAACAAAGGGTCTTACAGCTATACCCTTGATCTGATCTTACTCTGAGGCCATGTTTTACTGGCAGCCTAGATGCCAATTACTACTTTGAGACTCTTTTGCCAGAAAAGAGCAGGGATGAAAAAGACTTTTATATTTGAACCCAGCAAGTCCTGGCTCCTTTACATTTTGTCTAAATTCTTCTGGAAAATGGAATAGTTCTTTCTTTAGCTCTTCTTTATCCTCCTGTATTTTATTGCCATGCATCTGCTGTTTAAGTTGTTAGTGGCTGTGATAGTAGAGATTCTAGATAAAAAGGAAAGGAGAATGACATTGTAGCAAAAGAGAGTCACCATGCTTAGTTAGGACCTATTAAATCAACATGTATTAAATTGATGCTTGTTAAAAATGCACATTCTCAGGCCTCCAATCAGAACCAGTGAGTTAGCAGGGGCTGTGAGGCAGGAATCTACATTTTATGGACCTTATTGTGCCTACTACGTGTGAAAACACCGCCTTACATCAGGCTCTGTAGGCATCCATTTTTCCCCCACTTGTGTCCAGATTCCAGCCCTAGAGCTGCTCTCTCCACTTCTCCCTTGACCCCCTGCATGGATCTGGGTCTGGGCAGTAAACAGATGGCACACTCAAACAGGGTATGCATTTATTAAAGAGACTGTTTACAAGGTGTGGGCAAGATTTAAAGACACCAACCAAGCATAGTGCAGTACCTGCCGCTAAGTAGCAGTGGGGAGCTGTCACCACCACTAGGAAGGGCAGCTAAAAGTTATCTGAACTTGGAGAACCTCAATGTCATTTGGCCTGATCCCTAATGAGTTCCTTTAATGCCCCTGGGTCCTTTAATGGGGAGGGACCATGCAGGGGCTCTTGGGCTGTGGAGTGGGACCCTTACTCAGCAGGGCCAGATGGGGATGCGGCATCCGCCTAACAGGTGGCCCAGGGGACTTTGAGGAGAAAGGCTGGCCCCAATTGTCCTCAGCCTCTCTCGTCCCTGCCTTTTTGGGATTCTCCTGTCTTTGGCAGCCCTGGAGGCCCTCCTATCTAGGCAGGAAGAGGAGCCAATAAATAAATTTACACTAAGGTGCTAGAGAGTGATAACAGCTAATCCCTTCCAAGGACAATTGCTCTTGGAAAAAAGGACGATGGAGCTCAAAAGAAAGAGTGTCTCCTGGAAGAATACCACTCTTTGGTGCTGGCACAGGAGCAACTGACCGGCAGGGGCACTCAAAGCTCTTCAGATCGCCTGCGCTTCTGATTTTGTGTGAGTCTGTTGTTAAGCGTTTTCCCCGAGAAGCTTTCAAATGCCTCTACCTGTGGAAGCTCCATGAGGGAAGGGCTGCCTTTGTCTCTTTCGTTCATTAATGTATTCCCAGAGCCTGGCATGGAGTAGTGCTCTCTCTGTGTTTGACGAATGAATGAATGAACGAATGAAACCTCTCCTGAGGAACTTGGCTCCAGTGGAAAGCGAGACACGCTCGCGCCTTGCCCCTCCCCTTCAGGCTTCCCTGCGGCCTGCCTGGGATTGAGCTGAAAAAGGATTTTTCATACACATTGCCCTCATTATAACATCATGCCTCAGAGCGAAGCTCTCTGACCACCCTGAAGACCTGTATTTAATGTGATGAAAGGTGATTTAATAGAGTTGAGGAGAGCGAAGCTGAAAGCGGACAGCCGTTTCAGAAAAGCAGAACAGGCTGTCCTTCCAAGGGAGGAAAAAAAAAAGGAAAAGGGGGAAAATAAATCCAACACCTTGCCCCAGAAGACAGTGGGATAAGAAGACTTTTTGGTCAGCCCCATAGGAAGGCAAAGATGAAAGCCAGCTCAGCAGCTGTTCCGTCCCCGGCAGCGGATGGCTAACGTCCCATTTATTTACCTTGGGGCTGATTACGTACTGGGTTGAGGCAGGCAGGGAGATTTGACTGACATTTGGTCTCCCTTCAGACATTTTTGCGACAGCCAGACATCAGGGACTGAGCTGCAGGATATTAAAGGATTTGGAAAAGTTATCAAGGAATGGGACATATTTATCAAAGCCACGGTGATATTAGAAAGCTGGGCTGCTGCTACACCTGGGTCTGTTACTTGATTAAAAAAATAATAATGATTCATCCTCTGGCTGCCTTGTCACCCGGGTGAATGCTGAGCAGTTCTGTGGGACCACCCTTGGCCAGGGATTTGCACATAAAGATCCTCTTTGGGTCTGGCAGAAAATTGTGGGAGATAGATGGCCCTGGCGCTGGGGATGCGCGCCTGCCCCGTGCACCTGCAGGTGTGATAAAGTTGTGCGTTCAGTAGGAAGCTCCTATTGGTGTGCTCCCTGACCTCCCCTGGGCTGGTCCAGTGTCCTCTGAGCATCTCTTACTTCCAAAAGATGCCTCTTAAGAGTTGGTTGAGGGACTAAAGGGTTGGCACAAAAGATGCCACGTGGAGGGTCCCTAGCGGCTTCCACCACTGCGTTTCTGGTGAATAGCAATTATGTAATACAGGGGCTCTCCATCTTCTAACAACCAGCAAGTCGGAAAATACCACGAGTCACCTCTATTTAGCTCTCCCCCAAATTTTTCCACATGAATTATTCAGTGTATGACTGCTTCAATATGTCTATCTTTTAAAAAAAAATGCTGGACGAACTTAAAGCAGCAAGAGGAAGTGCCTGCATTGCAAAAATGATACCCACCTGCATATTTATCTCTAAAGCAAAGTCTACCGCATTCACTCAGGTGAAAACATCATTAATAGCAAGGGCTGACCAAGGGCCACCAGGATCCATGGGGTTAATCTGGGTTTTGCCATCTGATTCCAATCCATCAGGCCTGGCTATAAACTGCTTATATGTCTGGGTGATAAAAAGCAAATATAAATTTTCAAAAAATTTAACCTTGCATGGTATATAAAGAGAATACATAATATTCTCGGGCATAAATATGTCTCAAGACAAACTCATTGTGTATACCCAGAATACATAATGGATCTCACTGAGACATATTTCTCCCTTAGCAAGAAAAAGCCAGAAATTCTACAGTAAACTGTGGCTTCCACGACCCTGCGAGGAGAGCTGTGTCTCCGACTCGGGGCTGTCCGAACATGGGAGTGGGGATCCTTGAGGACTCTCGGTGCCCTTCTGGAATGACTCGAAGTCCAGTTGGGGAAAAGGAAGTGTGGCCGAAGCTGGGAGATGGAGGCTGGGGGTTTCAGCATGCTTCTGGGGGACCTTGACCAAATCATTGCGAGTGATTGGGTTCTGATTTCTGCGTTCGAAACTGGGGGAGGCTGATCTGGAAAGCACTGATTTCGAAGGCAGTGTTTCTCAAGCTCTAGTGGGCATGCGCATCCCCGGGGGTTGGTTGTAATGCAGATTCTGATTCAGTAAGTCTAGGGTGGAGCCTGGGGGTCTGCATTCCTAACAGCCGGGCAGGTGTTGCTGATGCTGCTGGTCTGAGGACCACCCTGAGTAGCCAGGGTCTAGGCTCTTGGCCAGATCTGATGCTCTAAGGCCATGTCTCTCACCCTCGGCTGCACATTTCAATCACCTGGGGAGCCTTAAAAAATGCCATCGCCCACACGGCATCCCCGACCCGTTAAATCTGATTCTTTGGGGGCGTGACCCAGGTGACAATATTTTTCAAAGTTCCTCAGGTGATTCCAAGGTGCAGCCAAGGTTGACTAGAACTGCTCGAAGTCTCCACATGGCTTCATACATGGAGCCAGCTTTTTGGAGGTTTGTCACCCATGTAGGCTCGCTTGTGACAATCCATTAAATAGAGCAGATGTAATTCACTGACGCCTCCGTGTCAACACGGTGCACTGTGCAACTGTGCCGTAGACTCATAGCCCCCTCCCTGAGCAGCCCCTTTGTCCAGGAGACCAGGGCTCCCGGGGTCCATGGAGTTTTACAGGGCAACGGGCTGACGCACATGGAACTTTTCTCTTTGTAATGCTTCTCTACTGAAGGCCAGATTAGTGATGGCAAACGCAGAGACCTACATGGGCCCAGGTGGGGAGCACAAATCTTAAATCAGAGCTCGAGGTTTGCATATTTAAATATGCACAGGTGTGTTTTCCCTTCCTTAAAGAATTACGCTTTTTGACATTTTTCTTAAAACTCATGGCCATCTTTTCCTTTATTTTCCTTTTTTGATAGAGACATGGGTACCAGAGAAATATTTATCTACTCTGTGAAACTCAACAGGGCAACTAAAGGGTTGGAGTCAGGCTTCTATGGGGCCATAGGTTTGTACAAATACATTATACTTGTACTTTTGCAAATCTACAAAAACGTGTAATCGTGAAAATATATTGGTATCTATACCTGAGGACGTGGGAAGGGATCTGTGCAAGTGAGGGCTCCTGAAGTTTAAGCTTCATTAGCTTCCCGGGAAATCCACTTTTGCACCAGCCAGGGACAAAAGCCAGCACAGGTGAGATCTTTACACAGCACTGGGACCTCAGACCAAAACTGGACAGTAAAAGCAAACCAACACTGACGAAGAGGCTCAACACTGACTCCCACGGGGCTCTTCCCATGGAAGGTGGATCCAAATAATTCCATGGAAAAGATGCGACTGTCTTCTTTTGTGACCTTGAACTGTGACAACAGCCATGAGGAAGACCCAGGGGACCTAGATGCTCACTACTCAAAGTGTGGTCCACAGACCAGCAGCATCGGCGTCACCTGGGAGCTGATTAGATGTGCACAAGCTCAGGTGTCAAGCCAGCTGCCCGGAACCAGAAACTGCTCCGCCATCCGATGGGTGTGCACATTATGGGCCCAGGAATTTCCGCCTCCGACTTCGAGAACATAGTAGAAGGAAAGAAGGGAGGGAGCGATCGGTGAGTTGTTCATTTGTTCATTCCTCCATTCCCTTGCGCATTCATTCAACAAATATTCTTTGAGTGCCCCCTCTAGGCCAGGAACTGTGACCTGTTAGTTCAACGGGATTAGTAAAGAGACCTGCAGCTGGGACTAACCCCGGAGGGGGGCTTTTCCCGCCTTCACAGTTTCCCGCCTTACTGCCCGCCCACGCCCCCCCTCCCCCAGAACACACGTCACACATGCAGCCGATCGCTAGTGCTTGGGACTGCAACTTGCTTGTTGGACTGTAAACAGCTTGATGGCTGTGTGCGTGAATCCCTGAAAGAGCCTTGCCCACTTTGTGGGGTTGGGGCAGTGGGCAGAGGACAGCCCCCAAAGTTTATTAATGCTGGACAAGGACAGCTCTCCTCTTTTGAGAGGGTGGGTCTTTTGAGGGGCGCCGGGAACAGCTGCCCTGTCCCGTCACCCTACGTCTCTCAGCTTCTAGGCAACTCCTCCCTACTGAAGCCCCTGGCTTGAAATGCAGAGGAGTAAGGGCTAAGAGGTGAGGCTCCAGGATCTGATGACTTGGATCCGGGACTGTGGGGACGTCAAGGTCATCCTTCATCCCCTCTTCTGTAACGTGGGCGTGGTAGTGATGCTTCCTGAGGTGTTGCGAGAATGTACAAGAACACAGAGTGTGCAGAAAGCCAGCCCTGCCGTAAACATGAGCTGCTGCCTCCAGGGCTGTATCAGTCACTTACAAGTTAGTATGAATTAGATCTTATCGCGAGGCTTTGATCAGGGTGAGGGGAGAGGGGTGAAGCTACTAGGGAGTGGGACCGAGATAGATGAAAGGGTCAACTTCTCGCCGGCAAGGTTTTGAAAGGGGCTGGTCCAGAGAATGGGGTGTGAGGTGCCCTTTGTGAATGTGAGGAAGAAATAGCCACGCACAGTATTTCAAGGACTAAAAGCTGCACCAGGTCCCCCTGGCAAGGGCCGGCCCCTGGCGCCTTCGCTCTAGCTGATTCTGTGTTTATCCAACGAAACATCAAACTTGTGTCCTCTCATTAACCCTTTGTTTCTTCTTTGTTCCTGCTTTAGAACCCCCACACTCTGATTATTTTTAGAGCCGTGAGAAGTCAGAAGTCACTTGTGTTTACAGAGAGGCCCAGGCGCCTTCAAAGGCGGGCGAGGAGTGTTAACAGCACCCTGCTCTCTCCCCAGGCCCCAGCCCCGCCTTTTCCAACACGTTCTGGGGCGCTTGGCTCAACAGAAGGGAAAACACAAAGGAGAGAAATCTTTTCTTTCTCTTAGATGTTTGCTTTCTCAGTTTCCCCTGTGACCTGCGTGAGTTAAAAAAAAGTGCACGCACGTGTGTGCGCACGCGCGCACACACACACACACACACACACACACACACACACACACGGTTTTCTGTTTTTCCCTGCCAAGAGGGGAGAAACAGGCAGCCGCCTGTGCAAGTCAGAGTTTGTGAAACCTGGGCATTCCTTCCATCCCTCTCTCCCCACCTTCTCCTTTTCCTCCTGCTGGATTGCTCCCCAGTACACCCACCCACAGCCTCCAAATCAGGCCTGGGATGAGTGATGGGTGCCCTCAGAGTTATGGGTGCCTTTCAGCGGACAGTTGCAACCAGATCTGGCTCCCCCATCGGAAGAGTCCCAGTCACAGGCTGCTGGTCTGCAGGACTAAGTTTCTGCTGCGGTGCTGTGGAGGGACGGAGCTTGCCAGTTCTGTATCCCTCACTCCATTCCCCAGGGAGGCTGCTGAGCGAGCCCAGAGAGCACAGAGGCTTTTCCGGAGGTGCTCAACATTAACGTGTCCCTGCTTCTTCTGACTCCCACGGGGCTCTTCCCATGGAACTGAGCTCGGGGTCATCCTCATGGCCCTTGGGAGTGTTGCTCCATGAAGCCACGTGAAGCACGGAGGGGGCGAGGGAATGCAACTGGCCCGAGCAGGGTGTGTGAATTCTCGCTGCGGGCAGTGGAAGGTGGGGTCGCATTTCTCTCCTGGTTTATGTTGAGTCCCCCTAGGCCCCAGTGCCCGGACTCTTCGGTCATTTTTTTTGTTCACAGGAGAAGTATCGCATCGCAGGCTCTGCTTAAATTGGGGCCGTGCTGGGAATACATCTGGGTGGTTGGATGTGACCAGAAGGTTCCATCACTTTACGTACAGTGATGCTTGTGCCAATGCCCTTGCGTATCGATACACAGCTTGCGTGGACTCTGATGCTGCAGCCGCCATGCTGCCGTGTGTTCCCCTCCCCCCACGCATGTGTAATGTGTGCAGGGAAGGCTGCCTCCTCCACATTTGAGGGCCTAGGTCACAGAGATTCCGTCTCTGAAAAGGAATCTAATAAAAGCCTACCTCGTATGCGTGACTCTACTGATCTCTAGAATTTTCCAAGAGCTGACCACGTCCCAGGCACCCTTGTGATTTCCATGTCAGAACCCCTTTAAACTGAACTGTTTTCTGCCACACAGTAGCTTTGTGATCTTGGGAATGTAGCTTAAATCTCTGTGCCTCAGTTTCCTCATTTGTCAAATGAGAGTAAGAAGACCACCCTCTTGGTATTGTGTGTGTGTGGTGGGGGATTCACGTATAATCATAAGATGCTGGCTATAAACACACCCAAACTGTGCCGGACCTAGGGCTGGAGCACAGCAAAGCTTAGCTCTTTCCCCTCTTCTTGATGAGTTAAGAATGGGCCCTTATGGAGTTTATAAAGTGATCTAATTAATTATAACACACCCAAGATGATACGACTCTCAATAGAAAGGAAGCAGTCATCACAGAAGCTAAAAGAACAAGTTGTAAGAATATGTCTTAGTATAAGAACAGTCTTAGTATATCTAGAAAGGTGCTGAAGTCTGTTCAATTCTCTAGGCTATGATTCATGTTTCCAAGGTATATGTGTTAGAAATCTTTTGGTTTTAAGTGACAGAAAGCTCAAACTAACATACACCACAACGGAATTTATTGGCTCACATAACTGAAAAAAAGTTGAGCAGAAAGGTGGGATTCAGGCAAAGTTTGATCCAGAAGCACAAAGCATGCTACTAAGCACCTTCATCTCTCTTCTCTGAATTATGCCATGTTGGCTCCAACCCCATGTGGCAGCCCCTACTTGCTTCAGGACCTTTATGATAACAGAATGCTACCCAGCACCAGATCGTAAGTATCCTCACATCACACTGCCCAGGGGGCTTCCTCAGAAGTCCCACCAAATTTCTCCTCACATGTCATTGACCTTGCCCCTGGAGGTGGAGGAGAGGTCCACCCCACAAATCACCCTGGCTGAAAATGAGGGAGGAGTCCCCCAAGGGAAAAAATCAGTGTCCTTTTGTTGCAAGGGTAGGGAAAAGCATGCTGGGGTGACAGTCAGAGCTAAATTGTCCCACAGGAATCCCGAGCACATGCCCAAGGCACCAACAAAGCAGAAGGAACAAAGGTGATTGTTAAAAGAAGCAAGTTGTAGGCTGGCCTGGTGGCGTAGTGGTTAAGCTTGCGCACTCCACTTTGGCAACCCGCAGTTCACAGCTTCGCATCCCAGGCATGGACATAGCACTGCTATGTGGTGGCGTCCCACATAAAGTGGAGGAAGATGGACACAGATATTAGCTCAGGACCAGTCTTCCTCAGCAAAAAACAATTTAAAAAAGTAGCAATTTGATTTTTAATATATATTTTTAAAAGCACTGAAGTGATCATAGGGGAAAAAATTGGAACGTTGTCTTCATTGCAATTTCATTGTTTTATGGTTGAGCATTACTTATACTTTGAATAACACATGGGACGGTGCAGGGTGCCATAATCTTTTCAGTGCTTGGAGGTCTCTAAAATCTGAATTCAGCCCTGTGGGCAATCAACAAATCCCAGCTCCTCCAGGTGAAGCTCTGGTTTCCAGTGCAGTGTTCTTCGATGGCAGGATCAGTGGAAAGGGGGAGGGATTAGTAAGGTGGTCTTTGGTTTTATCCATCAGGTTCTTGTGAGTCTGGTTAGTTTAGGTCATCCTACTAAACGAAAAGCGTTGATTTCTGGCCAGCCAAGGTGATCGCAGGCAGAGACAGATCCTGAAAGAGTTCTTACAGCAGCTGTCTCTCTGCTCTCTTCAGCCCCCTGTTGGTGACCACAGGACTCCTACTTAACTCAGTCAAAAAGAGACTCAATAGAAGAAAGTCTGGAAGGAAATACAGCCAACCCGCAGCAATGATTCTCTCTGGGTGATGAGATATGGGTGATTTTCATTCATTCAGTCCCTCATTCTCTTATTCCCAAAATATTTCTTGACAGCCTACGTTGTGCCAGATGCGTTCTAGACACTGAGGGTTGAGTGGAGTATGGAACAGAAAGAAGACCCCAGCTTCATGGAGCTCACCTTCAAGGGGAGGAAAATGGATAACAGACCGATTAAGTAAGTAAAATCTAGTATGGCAGAAGGTGCTAAGTCTAGGGAGAAAAAGAGACCAGGCAAATGGAAGGGATATTGGGGGAGGGGTGGCATCGTGCATTTAAAGAGGTGTCCAGGGAAGGCCTCCCCGAGGAGGGGGCACTCCAACAAAGGCACGATGGAAGATCTGGAGTGGGCCATGCCACTCTCTGTGGGAAGAGCACTCTAGGCAGGGGAGGTGGGCAGTGCAAATGGCCTGAGGAAGGCTGTGCCAGGCACGTTACGGGAACAGCAAGGACATCAATGCGTCTGGGACAGACCTGTGGCGGGGGAGGGGGAGGAATAGATGAGGTCAGAGAGGCCAGGGTGGGTGGGGCCAACTGTATGGGCTGTGCAGGCCACGATGAGGACTTCAGCTTTGGTGTGAGACGGGCAGTAGTGCAGAGTTACAAGCCGGGAGCGCCTAGATCTGGCTTAGGGCTTCGAGAGAACGGGCTAGAGAGAGGCAAGGGCAGCAGTGGGAGCCCCATGAGGAGGCTGTTGTAGAAGCAGATGCCATGCCAGTAGGAGCAGGGTGGCCGCCGTGGGGGTCGTGAGAAGGGGTCAGGTCCTGGCTCTAGTGCCCTCTGTATTCGTGTTTTCCTCTTTTCCCCATTGCCGCCGTGAACATGTAGGGAAAAGACGACTCGAAGCTAGAGGCGGTTATTCCAGTGGGGCGGGGGCGCAGCGGGTTGCTGCAAGTGCCCTTGATGGAGTGAACATGGAGACGGCGCTGTCCCAGAACCCTGGTCCTGGGGTGCGCCGCGCAGCCGTGTTCCCCGCCACAGCCAGGGCCCGCAACTCCCCTGCCTCTCCTAGAGAGAGAGGAGGGCTCCACACCCGGGGCGGACCTCCAGCAACCACAGCCGGCCCTCCTGCTTGCCTCCTGGTGGCAGTGACCCATTCTCCCAAGGGAACGCTGGGAGCAGCTGGGTGTGTGACAGGCTCCTGTGAGCTGGGCGGTCCTAGATGGGAGCCACTAGTCACAGGTGGCTTTTTAAACTGAAATATAAATGAAGGGTAAAGAGAATTAAAAATTTGTTTCCTCAGCCTCACTAGCCACATTTCAAGTGTTCAGTAGGGCATGCGCCCAACATGGTGGACGGCATCGCTCTAGAACATTTCCATTATTGTAGAAAGTTCTGTTGGACAGCACTGAGTTAGCGGATGGCACAGGCTGTTTGACATTCTCTTGCTGACGTTTACAGCAAAATGGCCGCCCAGCAGAAGGAAAGGTTTGCGGGGGCGGGGCGGGGCAGGGCAGGATGCTCTCCTTGCAGCAGGTTCCTTCCTCTGTATCCTTCCTGGACCAACTCGAATGTCACCTCCTCCGTGAATGACTCACTCCAACCCTGGGCTCCTTCCCCACACGCCAGACAAATAATATTCCACACTTGGAATTGCATATAATCGCGTATGTTGCAGTCTGCCCCATGTGGGCGCCAGTCTTCTGATCTTATTCAGCTGGGTGTCCCCAAAGCTTAGCACAAACTTGGCAGACTGGGAACACTCAACTAATGTCTGTGGCATTCTAGGTTATAGTGCCTGCTCTCCCTCCAACTACGTGGCTGTGTGTCTTTGCACAGGTCACTTAACCTCTCTGGGCTCCAGCTGTATCATCATTAAAATGTGGGTGCCTCGTCCTAGTGATCTTATTGGGGCAGGCTGTCAAAACCACGCAGAAGATTGGCAGAAGCTTCTTTGGGTGTGATGCTGGAATAAGAAGAAGTAGGCAGATCCTGGTGGCAGATGTGTTTCTGCCACACACAAGCTGTGTGACCTTGAGCAGCGTACCCAACAGCTCTGAGCCTCTCAATTCTCAACTGTAACCAAGAAATAAGAGGAGTTATTGGGATCACAGTGCTGGGCACAAGGCCTGGCATATCATAGGGGCTAATACCCAATAAAGCCCACCCTAATTGCAAATAGAGCTGCCGCGTCTCTGGAAACCCGGGCTGGCAGTCCAGGACCACCTGGGGCAGCACACGGAGCAGGAGTTCCCTCACAGGGCGCGGCAGGCTGCCTCCACGAGCTGCTCTTCCCAGGGCACCTGGCGATGGTGATGAGCATAATTCATCCCTGCTCGCAGTTAATGGCTGGTGACATTTTGAAGACGGCAGCCTGGCTTCAGCTTTGCTGACAGCAGGGGCATTTCAAAATGCCCGATGGATGTCAGGCTCCACAGAAACACAAACCAGAGTTGCACGCAGCACCTGAGAGCAGACACCAAGTCGAGAGAGGGAGATGCAGAGGACTCAGAGGCCCCCCAAGTGACTGTAAACAGTGGTGGCCGGGGGTGGGGGGCGGTGGTGGTCATCGCTCCTCGCTGCTCGAAAGGCTGGGCCAATTCGCCATGGACAGGAGCGTTTCGTGGGAACTTGCGGATTAAAATTCCACACGCCTGGAATCAATATTCTATGCTCGTGTTATAATTCACTTTGCGAGGGAGAGGGTGCCGCTCTCCGAATTCTTGGGTGAAGTCAACCACAGATCCCAGGGATCAGGAGGATTTCCGAGCTTATAAATCATGCCCAGCAGCGGAGGAGGCTGAGGGAGGGTGGTGGCGAAGGAGGCAGGGGACGCTGGCTGGGAGGAAGGTTCCGAGTGCCACCAGCTATGATGACAACATTTCATGGGAGCCCGACCCGCCACACTGAGCATCAGTGCGGTGTGATTTTGCTGATGGGAACCACACAAAAAGGTGGCCTGGTGTGCTTGGGTTGACCAAACCAGCCCCGAGCAGAAACGACTCAAGTCAGTCGGGCTGTTTTTGTCAGCACCATAAACAGCTGGGACCCCTCCTGACACCGCCATGATCGCCTGCATCTCAACAGAAAAAACGGAGATATTTGCAAAAGATTTTTCCCCTCCGACTTGCTACTGAGTGGATGCCTCTGCTTGTTTTGTTCTGCTGTAGGGAAAGCAATGCAGATGAAAGACCTAGAATGGACCAGGGGCTTCCACAAGGCGCAAAGCCAGTTCGGGCTGACTGCAGCCCAGGGCCCCAGTCTTCCCTCTTGTTCACAGGCCCTCCCAGACACTGTTGTCCCTTGGGGCAAGAAACCCTGGCAGAAGCTTTGGAGCAGGCAGGAGGCCCGTGTCTCTGGTGGGATGGGGCGAGCTGCCCTAGCTGAGCTCCCTCCAGCAGATTTGTGCCTCTCACCTCTAGGGCTGCGACTCCTGCGCCGGCCGAGATTGTAAGCTACATGCCTTCCTTGGTGTCAGCCCGTTCCCTAATGGATACTAGTTGATGTCACAGCATCAGCCCGATGATTGGGCATGATTAGAAGGCGCCGCTTCTGAGGCGGGCCTGGGGATCGTGGCCTGAGCGCAGAATTAGTTCTCGGCCCCCCAGGGAGGGGGCCAAATCCCGCAGGAGAGAAGCCCCCACTCCCGTAAGGAAGCGGAGGTAATAACTAATAACCTTCCCTCTGCCCCGCCTCCCCCTAACCTGCTCGTGAACCGTGCTTGTTTTGTTCAAAGAAGTGCTAGTGTGCCCAGTCTCATTTTAATGAAAAGCAGACCCCGCTCGCCATTGCCCCTCCTTGGGCAACAGAGATAAAAACCTAATGGCATGTCAGATCCTTGATGGCAAACCCGCCAGGAAAACAAAATTATCAGGGTAGAGCGGAGGCAGCGGACCGTATCTGCTTTTGTACCATAAAATAACATAACCCGCTGACCCCCTCATTTGCTGAAGGGGCACCCGGCTGGAAACACCGAGCCCTGTCGCAAGTCGCCGCTCCCGCTGCCTGCTGCAGCTCTGCTCCCAGACAACCTGGCTGGCGCTCTTTTTTCCCTCCCCTCCGGCGTTTCCGTCCTCATTTCAATATCCAAGGCACAAGCTCTCGATGACAACACGTTTATCACCACGCGGATTGTGAGACTCTGACAGGAAAAGGTCCAAAGCAGGTTTCCTGTGTGAGTGAATGCACACGTGCATGCACACGAGTGCACACACACACACACACACACATCCTACTCTACATTGGAAAACAAAATTCCCAAACTATCCACATCAGATAACAAAGTCAAAATGTCCCTTACTTATCAGACCACGGAAGGACTTTCTTGACAATTCCCACAATGACATTTAATGGCATCCAAGAGATGTTTGAAACAACTTAACTGAAGCATTGTGAAAGCCCTTTAAAAACAGTCCTCTTGTCAGATGAGCATAATGATCCCAGAGAACTTTCTCAAGTCATGGGGCTGGCTGCCATGGCTGTTTTTCTCTTCTTTCTTCTCTCCCTCTTTCCCTCCCTCCTTCCACTATTTCACAAGCATTTGTTGAGCCCATCCCATGAGCTAAGGCCCAAGATAAGTTCTGGAGAAACCTTCCCGAGCAAGACAGAAATGATCCGTGCCTGACCATGTGACTAAGTTCCAGCTAATGGGATGTCACCAGAAGTATTATGTGAAGCTTCCGGGAAGAGTTAGCAAAGTGAAGGAAGCATACCATTTCCTCCATCTTCCTTCTTGTGGGTTGGAATGTGGATATGATGGCTGGAGTTCAGGCAGCCATGGAATACCGTGAGGTAGAAGTCATGTCTGGAGGATGCTAGAGGAGCAAGATAGAAAGAGCCTGATATGGTAGAACCACTTTAGAAAATTGGCAATTTCTTGTACAATTAAACATATACCTACACTATACTCAGCAACTTCACTCCTGTTTACGCAAGAGAAATGAAAACCTGTGCCCACGCAAAGATTTGCAGACAAATGTTCACAACAGCTTTTTCTCATAATAGCCCCAAATTGGAAACGATATAAATGCTCATCAACAGGTGATTAAACAAATTGTGGTGTATTCATACAATGGAATACTACTGAGCAACAAAACTCAACAGACTGTTGATACATATGACAACACGGCAGAACCATGCCCTCCATGGGGATTGATGTCAGAATAGTGGTTCCCTGAGAGGCGAAGGTCAACCAGAAGGAGCACGAAGAAACTTTCTAAGATGATGGAAACGTCCTATATCTTGACTGGGTTGTTGATTACACGCTGTACACATCTGTCAAAACTCGTCAAACTCTGTACCTTCATGATCTGTGTATTTCACGCAAATTACAGTGATACAATGATAATGATAATAATAGTAGCCTGGATCCTGTCGGCTTTCTGAAGTCACCCTTTTAGCTTGGAACCTTATTTACATGAGAGAGAAAGAAACTTCAACCAGTCTTCAATGGCATCTTCCGTCACTCATAGCTAACGCTATCCCGGCGGCACTACGTCTTCTCCACGCCAGTCATGGAGCACGCGGCTGACTCTCTCAGCTCCGGGCGGTGAAGTCAGTGAGGGAGCTGGTCCTAGGAGCCAGGCCACAGGTGGGATTTGACAGCGGGGTTAGTCTGAATGCTATGGCTTAGAAGAATCCCTTCCTGGCCCTTCTTCCAGGGTTTCCCCGGCCTGAACCCACAGCCGAGGATCCTCCTGGACACAGCACACTCAGCAGATCTCTGTCCCGCCCCTCACGGCTGGCAGCCGGTTCGGCAAGCAGGATCCCGCGTTGCGGGGCTCACTTTGGTCGGCCTATTGTTCTTGAGTGCTGGCGCTGGGACTATTCTTAGCACATAGCCAATCCCCAGGAGGCTCTGAAGATGCACAAGGCTGAGTAACAGCTGCATCGCAGCTATTACCAATGCTATTATCATCACCATTACCGCGGGGATGCGGCTTTTGTGGTATGCCAATCAGGGGATGTTTGGGGGCCTTTTCCATAACTGGGAGAACCAGTTCAGGGCATGAGTGGGTTTCCTTCCATTCGGAGTGGGACTGACCTCCAGAGAAGCATGTTTCCTTGCACACAGGAGGGGCTGGCATTTCTGGCAGGTCCAATAGGCAGCTGCCTGCATGGAGGGATTTTAGGTTGAGCCTCTTTCCTCGCCTCCTATCCTGCCCAGCTCTGCCACCTCTGCCTCACCAAGCTGTCCCCTCACCAGCAACCACAAATTCTACAATTAGAGGTTCATTCCTTTGACTTTATATTTTCTCTGCCATTAAAATACAAGTCCTCTCGCTATCATTCCTAGAATTGTATTTTCTTTCTTTTCTCATTTTCCCTTTTGAAAGAAGGAAGTGGAACACGCAAAGGCAGCATGAGAGGGCATTTGTGTGAAGGTAAGAGCACGGAGAAAACGGAGGTGGTGGGGGAAGCCAGTAAGGACAAAGCAATGATAAGAAAGATGAATGCTGCTTGTCTTCCCAGGATGTCCTGGGTGTTGGCCCACGTTATGTTCTCAGGGTAGCCCTCTTCCTGGAGTTTATTTCACAAACACTTGGTGCTTACTACATACCAGGTACTGTGGTAAGAGCTGTATGAAGCTTGATTCATTTAATTCTCATAACAACCCCATGAAGTGGGTATGTTAGAGTCTACATTTGATACAGGAGGAAACTGAGTCACGGGGAGATTGGGTAATTTGTTCCAAGTCACGTGGCTGGTTAAGTAGCAGAGCTGGGCACCTTTATGGAACCGTAAAGTCGCAGGTTATTGCTCGCTCCCTCATCGTCGGGCCATCCTAAGGGCCCAGCTCTCTTGCTTTTTCCTTCCAACACTATTCCCTTCAAATAGACGCCTGGAGGAAGACCTGACTATTACAAGCTTTTTTCCACCCTGAGATGTTTTCATTTTAAGGACGCATCTGCATATTTCCAGGATTTCATTTCCCTCCCAAGATATTTTCCCAAAGGAAAAAGATGCCGTGTCTGTTTCCTTTAAAAATGTCTACAAGCGAAACACAAGAACAACAGCGAAATGATGTTGCGCCGTCTTCGTCGCTCAGAGACACTGGAGCTCACGGCACAGCCCTGGAGGCCTCCGAGACGCATTTCCTGCGATTTTAGGGTGAGGATCCCTGCCTTAAATGGAGCGAGAAACCCGAAAATATTGTTCCGATGAACAATAGGAGACACAACCCCGAGAGGTGCAGAGGACAAATATCTGAGTGTTTTTGATGGGAGAAAAGCCACTGTGTAGAGCAGTCTCTTGTGTTTCCTGGGGGCGCTGTGGAAGATGCTCGAAGCTGTCGGCCCCAGCCCTGGCACGTCTACAGACTTGGGCAGTTGGGAGCCTGCCAAGGCGGGGATGGGGGTGAGATTTTCGAGAACAGCACCTGGAGACTTTTTTTTTTTTCCACAGAAACACAAACCACATGTGTAACTAAGGAGAAGCATGCCATTCCGTGGAGAATTTCCTCCTCATACCTGAGCGGAATGGAAATCTTCTGTGAACTTTGTTCCTGCCTCCGTGTCCTTATGCTAATGACTCTGGTATTTCATTGTTTGTGGAGGCCACAGGAAGGGACGGTCCTGCTTTGTTAAGATAAAGGCAAAGAGGACCAGGTCTCCCACTGGCTGGGAGGGGGTGGGACAGAAGCAAAAGGACACAGACTTCTGGAGGGTGCAGAGAAAAGACAGGGTTCTGACTGAAACCAGACCGTGCTCGGGGGCCTGGGGTGTTGTGATGTGCATGGCTTCCTGCCCCATAGGGCACTACAACCTGACTGGGGCTCCCGATCTCTGACCTGAAGGCCTTTCCTTGGGGTCAGGAGGAGGGGTCAGTTCAGGCCGGCGTCCCACTGGAACCTTCCCTGAAACGTTGCTGCCCAGCTGTAGCCACACCAGCTTGACCTGGAGTCTCTCAAAACTTGCTCGCACAGAACCCCGGAACCCTGTAACCCCTACCACTCCTCCATCTGTGGGGCCTCTGCTGCGTGTCACCACTGTCAGAGTTCAGGGCAACTTTACATCCGTTTTTATGGCTGATTCTGCTGCCCAGTCCAGTGCATGAATGCCCAGTGGCTTGGATCTGGCCTGTCCCATGCGAGGGAGCCCTCTTTCTGACTATGGGGTCTCTAGACGGGCTGAACTCCCTGGTGAATTGGCATACATGTGCCCTCAACCTTGTGCTACAACACTGCACACACCCTGTCTCACGGGATCACCAGAGCATCCTCCAGGGCAGATAGCGTTCCTCCTGTTAAAACAGCCTGGCTCCCCGGGGCGCAGGGAGGTTAGGTGACTTGACCGTGGTCTACGGCAACCTTTCCTAAAGCGACTTCTGTAGAACACTGCAGCATGGCGGAAAAAATGTTAGAAAACATTACATTCCTTACCTCCCAATTGGAGGTTCAGAGCAGACCTATACGTTAAAGGCTCTGAGAACTCTGACCGTTTTTTTAAAATTAATTGACACCCCTCCCAAACTTCTAACACTTCAACTCTTTTTGGCTTTTTTAAAAAACATCTCAATTTATTCGACCATGGAACCTTTTCCCCATGCAGTGTAGCAGATGAAATTTTTATACAACAATTCACTTCCTTTCTCTAAACCATCATGGAAAGAGTAGACCTCCTTTCCCCATGAATGAAAGGCTTGGCCATGTGACTCGCTTTGGCCAATGGAATGAGGGTGGAGGTGACAGCATGCCAGTTTTAACCCTAGGCTTCTCCATTGGCCTTTGTGCTTTGCCAGTCTCTGTGAGAAGAACATGCCCGGGGGGCTGCTGCCCCTCAAGCCTGGACCCCAGAATGAGACACATGGAGCAGAACAGCCCCAGCCAACCTGCAGATGCATGAGTAAAAAATAGATGCTGACCATTGTATGCCACTGAGTTTCGGGGTTGCTTGTAATCCAGCATCATTGTTAGTGGCAAGAGCTCCCTGATACACTGTTCCTATTTAACATGTAGTAGGATGCTAGCACTCAATGGGTCTTCTTTGGGAAATGTGGAGTCCCAGTCAGTACATGGCCAAGTCAGAGTCATACTCAAGTCTTCTAATTCCAGAGTCTGCTTGCCCCCCTACATCAAGCCACGGAAGAGAAGCAACAGTGCCTCTGGGGTTGGAAGGCTGCCCTGAGATAACGTGCTTCGGGCATTTGACTGCAAGGAGAAATACAGGGGTGCAGCAGTGAGGGTCGCCGAGTCTCCAGGCTGGCACTTTGAGGCAGGTTTGGAGCCCTCGGGCAGGGGCACCAGAGGCAAGCAAGCCACACGTGCCACTGTAGTCCATCCCGGGCCAAGTCCTTGGAGGCACTGGATTGCGGAGGTCATGATCTCAGACTGTGTTAGGACTGCTTTCAAGTTCTTTCCTTTCTTAAACCTGCAGAAGCCACATTATTTCCAAGGTCCTTGTCAGTAGCCTAAATTCATACCAATTTGCTGAGTCGGTACAAAGTGCAGAATGGATGGTACAGAGGGACATTAAACAGCCTACAACCCTTCAGACCACGTCAACAGATCATCCGTAGCCTCAACTGCGGAAACATTTCCTTAAATCCTTGCACTTTCTCCCCAAAGAGAAGGAATGCCCTTCTATCCTTTAAAACAGATGGAGGCCTGGCATGATGTTCACGCCAACTGGGATAGTGGATTCACCTGAGCTAAGCTCTAAAGAGGGCCAGTTAATCTTCATTCAAGAAATATGTCTTGAGCACCCTTGGGTGGGGTGACGGCGATACACCAGTGGGTGTGCAGAGACGCAGCCTGGAGTGCAGAGAGGCAGCCCAATGACAATCACAACACAATGTGCTGAGGGTGTCCGTGAGG